ACCCTGACTGCGTATAGTATCGCAGGTACGCTGATGTGGCCTTTGGTCGTGGGCATTTACACATGAACCTGCTGCTGCGACCCTTATCGGTCTCCGGATACAGAAGCCCTTGAGAACCGGCGCGGGCGGACCTTTCGGACGAGGTCTTGCCGAGGTGATGCGGGAGGTAGAGGACGGACCGTCCATAGCGCCGGTGAGCTATTCTCTAACTATCTCCCGGAGTCAGGGTGGCTGCAATTTTTTTTTTGCGCTGCCCTGGCTTGGCCGGACTGACAAAAATGTAAAAAATCAAAAAAAATCCCGAAATCCGAGGAGAAAAATAGGGGTAGCTCGTTTTTTTTTTGTTCCTAAGACTGGACGTTTGAAATTCTCGCCGACTTGCCTGGCGGCGCAATGTTTGCCCCCCCTAAACTCAAATCCTAGATCCGCCACTGATCTCGGTAATGGTATGTTGGCACACACGAAGGGGTCCGCACCCAGCAGCGTGTCCAATGGCAACAGGTGCCTTTATTTCACAGAGCAGCGTCCCTTTTTGGCAGAATGTAGCGTGCGCGCGCAGTTGACCTCTCTACAAACCTGGCACCATCATCGCCTAAGTTGCGGCACGGCAACCATGACGACGAACGAATACAACACCACTAAAGCCCAAAAATATTGCAAACAATATTATGCTTGCGACTTATGTCGAAAACTTTCCGCAAACCCCCATCGGAGAGCCGTTACCCATGCGCTGCTGAGAGCAATCAGAGAGGTATAAGGACGATGGAGGAAGGCCGCCCACGGACCGAGTGCGACCGATTGAACGGCCGTGACACGGCGGCCGGCGACGGTGGAGGGCGCCTATCTGACCCGACGGGGGAGGGGGGGGGGGGCGACAGGGCAGCCCCGTCGGTCGACAGGGCAGCCGCGCCGGCCGACAGCCGTTTTTGCCAACATGCCCGATAAGACGGACCGCCAGCCGGCCGGGCGGTATGTTTCGTGCTTCTGGCGGCCGATCGATGAGGATATCAGCCAAGAGAACCATGCGTCCATAATCCATTTGACCTCCTGTCCTCCCCTCAAACGCGCCACAGCGAGCAATATGAGTATTCTAGTTTTAATAGGCATATTGTGGTCATGAACGGTGAATATTAATTGGCAGCGACCGACAAACATATAGGCGTTGTTCCTCCCCTCGATGTGGTGGTTACCGGCATAGGCAGTCTTCAACAATATACCGGGTGGCCCAGAAAAAACGTTCCCAACTTTAAATCAACATTTCTCAGAAAGTGATAAAGACACAACATTGAAACTTCCAATAGTCAATGCGGCATATATTTTCAGTAAATTGTATTATTTTTATGTTATTCGGGCAATTACTTTTTAAATGGTTCGTGTGTCTAGCATGCCATGTAAAAATTACTTTTTTGCTCAGATGTTTACTAAAAACAAAATGTGAGTGAACGGGCCACTTCCATCTCGGTACCACGGCCTGCAGCCATGACTGCTACTGGCAACTAGCCTCACTGATGGTTCAGGCATTAGGGTGGCACATTCCCTCTAGCTTTTTTCCTTATTCGGTCGATTTACTGTTTGATCTTCTTGAAGGGAGGGCAATCAGCAGTAACCCATGCACCGCGCCACTCCTGCTCGAAACAGGACTCAGTGTTGAAACGAATGGCATCCATTAACATCATTTTGGCTCAGTATTTGAATATTCGGCACATAAGTGGGACAAAAATATTTAAAATAATAACACACGTGCTGGTTTCATTCCCGTGTTCCATTTTTCTATTTTTTCCTAACATGGTACGTCTAAAGCCAATCATCACTACCGTCCAACATCGGCAAAAAAAGCAAAAACGTCTTACTTAATTCAACATAAGATTGCTGGCTTGAAAATGATGATAGAACGTTATAATTTGGCATACCAATGCGCAAAGAAGTGACGTAAACTTGATGAGAATTTTGGCTCGTTATTTGCACTCAACTTTGAGATATAGGCCTCCAAAGTTCGGAACGTTTTTTTTGGGCCACCCGGTATAGCTTGGATAAGAAATCATGGAAATGAACTATTAATCATTAAAATGCATCGATTCCACCCTCTGGGATTCATGTATGTATGAGGCTGGAGCTCGAATAAATAGTCAGCAGCTGTCATGTTTCAGCCGCAAGCCCATGTGATCTGATAAGTCTAGATTTAAAACGGTCTCCGTAACTTCAATCGCTGGTCTGTGACGAGGCCATCATCTACTTGGTAGACGACCATCAGATCATGTTACTGCCGACTACCGATTAGACAGAAAAACGCAACGACCGGCTCCCTCCCCCGGGCCTGTAAAGGCGCCATGGATGCGTGCCGGCTGCTGTAATACACGACAATGTATTGCCTTTGTGTCGCCAGGCATTATCGCCGCACCATGGATGGGTCAACAGCCAGCCACAATCGGCGACCCAGAGGCCTCGCATGCCTATGGGTGCCTACAGCCGGCCATCCCCGGCCTCGCTTGGTTGGCTCACAGCGCCACCTACGGCTGGGGTGCCCCAGCGGCGCCGCCCTACACAATCTCCTGCCGCCGCGCCGCTCCGAGCGCTAGCAGGAGATGGTGGGCCGACCGAGCGGTGTCCGGCCTAATGACGAAATCCACGTCCATTTTCACCGTCCTGGTGCATACATTTGCCTACCAAGGTCAAGCAGAACTCGAATATGTTAAGCTGTCAAATGCGTCTTCATGAGAAATTAGGTCTCGGACGGTAAAAGCATCATTTCTCAGTTGAAATGCGGGTCAACATCATATACGACTCGTAAGTCGTTCTAGTCTATGTTAGCAAAATTGGTATATTAAGAGACCAAGTCATTGAAAGAGCAGTGTAAGCATAATCGAAATCGATAACAGCACATACAAACATACGAATGTAGAATGATTGCTTCACCTTGCAGTCAACATTGCCCAGATCCACGGCCAGCACAGCTCACTGCATGCACTCTGACTCGCAGTCTTCGGGCACAAAGAAGTTGTTGGCCGTGCCGCCGAATCCCGAGTATTTCATGGGTCGGCAGGTCTGCGTGCGGTTGTCGTAGTGGTAGCGGGTGCGGTACTGGAAGCTGGTGCCCGGGTCGGCCGGCAGCTGGCAGATGTCGGGCCCGTCCTCCGGTCCGCCGCACACCCGCTGACAGTCGCCGTAGCTGAGGAAGTTGTTCCAGTTGCCGTAGCAGCCGGTGTACATGAACCAGCGGCACTGCCTCTCCCGTGTGTCGTAGTACCAGCGCGGCTGGCCGTTGTAGCAGATCTCGAAGCCGCGCACCTTGGGCAGCTGGCAGGTGACGGGCGGCACCTTCTCCAGCACCGTGTCCAGCTGGCGGCAGTAGAACGTGCAATCGTCCAGCGAGACGAACGTGTTGGAGGCCGCGCAGCCGTGCACCTGCAGCGCCGCGCACCGGCTCAGCGCCTCGTCGTAGTAGAAGCGCACGTCGGGCCACCGGCCGGGCCGGCAGCGCTCGTGGTCGACGAACGGCGCGCCGCACCGCCAGTCGGTCATGCTGCGCATCTCGAGCTCCAGGAAGGTGCTGGTGCGGCACACCTGGCGGCACACGGCCAGCGACGGGAAGTTGTTGCCGTTGGCGTCGCACTCGGAGCCGCTCTGGAAGGGCAGGCAGGCGCGCGACTCGGCGCTGAAGTACCAGCGCTGCACCGACAGACAGTCGTTGTTGAGCAGCGGCGGGTAGGAGCAGATCTTGGGCACGCTGAGCGGCAGCATGGGCACCTGGTAGCCGGGCGGCGGCCGGTGGCCGTGCACCAGCTCGCCGCTGACGCTGATCCGCTCCAGGGAGAGGGCGCGGCCGGCGTCCGACACCACGGCCACCTGCCGGCCGCCGCCGGACCGGCCCGGCGCGGAGAGCGGCACAGAGCCCAGGTCGATCAGCGCCACCGCCGGCGTCGGCGTCACCGTGCTGCCACCGGCCGCGGTGGTGGATACGCCGGGGTCCGGCTCCGGCCCGCAGCCGCACCGCTCCAGGACAGACGCCAGGATCACCCACAGAAGCATAGCTTTATGGAGCTGCACTCGCATAGTCGCATTAGATTCCGCCACGTAAACCAGACCAGACGAGTACCTACTTCTTATTACTCGCTCAGCAAAGTACTAAGAACTTTTCAGCTTCATTGCATATCCCGCTTTACTACGAATCCCGAATATCAGGCGGTCGTCTGCATCTTCCATGTGCTTCATCCACAGCTTATTGAAGACTTAAAATGTAGGTATGCGAAGTGGAGTACCAGGATCATATAGGGGTACAAGGGTAATATAATGTGATTTATAAAGTGGTTTCGTATAGGTTTCCCGCAAAACTGCGGCTGATAAAATCGTATGTAAATAAACGACAAGCACGTGCCCTTATGTTGTGAATGCAATGGTGATTGCTTACAGGGAAACTAAGAAACAGCGACACTTGCACTGGGGGCGCCGACAATGCCCGGACCCCTACATTGCTCGCAAGACCATATAAATTGCTCGGACCGAGGTTATCGAACGCCGACAAAACGGGACCACTTGAAAACTGAGCTACATTGCTTGCAAACTCTCGTGAAGAATGCTCGAAACGCCCACTCGCCAGGAGCGTCACAAGACTCTTTATCCTTAACCTCCCGAACTGACAAGGAAACGTCGATCACAAATGCTTACACACTGGTTTGACGCTATGAGTATGGCTCATATAAGCAGGACACAAAATGATAACAATAGGCGTACTACACTACGAAGCTTCTAGCAAAAAGCAGAGAGCTACATAAAAGGTTGCCGGGAGAGATACTTGCTAAGCACTGAGAAGCGTAGAGGGCATGCCTTTCGAGCGTACTCGTATATTGTGTTGCCAATTACACTCGAAATATACGAAATAAGTGCCTTTTAGTACGAAAACTTTAGGAAGGCAAAATTTCAACGCTCATTTTCTCGACGTCTTTCAACCCAACAATATTAATGATTGTAAATAAATAAGAGCTTTATCCTAAAGGAAAAATACCTGATAAGAAAAGTATGTATTCCTTTGACAGTGGTTCAATTACAATGCTACAACAAATTATTAAACACATCCAAATGGCTCGGATGTGTTCAGCCGCACAGCCATCTGCACATATTGTGTCAATACAGAATGATTACTGCTTGGAAAAAACATTAAAAGGAAAGTCACAAAGGCTAAAAGCGACATCTTCCCAGCTGAAGTGGAAAAGGAAACATCTTATTGTCGACTCCCAGAAGGAAGCGCTGACTGAAAGTCTGCAGGAATACTGCGGGCAGCAGCTCCGAGCTAGGCTGGCAGTGAGGCGGCGTCGCGCCGGGACAGGACCTGAGACCGGCGGCACGGTTCGGCGGCGGGCGGCCGGGGCACACAGGCTAGCCAAGCGGCTCCGTCTCGCGCAGCAGCCAGGCGTAGGCGGCCGCCCGGCCCTGCTCTTTCAGCAGCGGGCCCACCGTCTCTCGCACCTCGGCGTGGTAGTCGTTCAGCCAGCTCACCTGGGAACGGCGGCCGTGCAGGCGCAGGTCAGTTTCAGAAAGACTTACAAACAGGCCGAACACCTAGTTACCTCAGCTGCGTCGCCGGTAGCTGTTGTGAGCTATCTGCTCCTCTGGTGTCACTGCATTCACTGGCCACCACAGGTCGACAATCTCAGGACAACCCGGACCGGCCCGACCCGCTCCACCGCTCACCTCTTCCTTGGAGAGCAGGCCAGGCACCAGCATCTTGGTCTGCACGGGCACCAGCGTGACGTGCGCGAACGTCAGGTAGCCGCGGCCGCGGAAGTTGTGCTTGGTGTCGGCCGGCACCACCCGTATGATGTTCTCCAGCCGGATGCCGAACTGGCCGTCCTCGTAGTAGCCCGGCTCTGCGGATCGAGCATGGGCGGGGAGCGGTTAGAGGGCAGGGCACGGATATATTGTCTAATCAGCTCAGAGGCTGTATCAAACCTCAAATCGCAAAAGCAATGCTGCTGCACTGTGGTTGCCCATTGTCGTTTTGTTTGTTTGTTCGTTTTTTTTTTGCGAATTCTTATTTCATAAGATCATACCAAATCTTTCCACCGCAATAATCCTAAAAATATTTTATCAGAATTCGTCTTTTTAAAATAACGTACAGGGATCCCGATCAGCCGCAGCACAGCGCTCCCTGGGTGCGATCCGGTCAGGTCAGACCCTTCCACGTTCTAGCCGGCGCCGGCCGCTTACCATCCGACACGAACATGCCCTGCTCGAGGCCGGGCTCGCTGGCCGGCTGCGGCCGACTGTGGATCGTCTGAGGACCCTCGTGCACGTTCAGGAACGAGCCGATCCCGTGCCCCGTGCCGTGGGGGTAGTCCAGTCCGGCCTGCCAGAGCGCCAGCCGGGCCAGAGGGTCCAGCAGGGTGCCCTGCACCAGACGGGCACACAGTCACAGCGTCAGCAGGGCCGGAGGGTTCAGCGGGATCCCCTGTCCCACAAATATATACGGTATTACACTGAGATATAGTCACAGCGCCGGAGGACCCAGCAGGGTGTCCTGAACCAGACAGGCACACAGTCACATCCCCGTCACAACGTCAGCACAGACGGAGGGCTCAGTAGAGTCCCCTGTCCCACACAGATACACAGTATTATACTGAGATAATCTCAGCGCCACAGGATCCAGCAGAGTGCCCTGACCGACATAGGAACACAGCCTTATCCTTCAACCATCGCCAACCGCTAAACGCCGTATTTCGGTGCTAGTCGATGTGCTATGAAATGCGGTGCTTACATACATCCCGTAACATTGCCACCCTATGTAGATTGACATGGGTTACAACTTACAATTTGAGAGCATCGTCGAGCAAGCCCAGCAGTCTGATCACTCACCCGCGTCTTGTTGGGGAAGACGGCCGTGGCCAGGGCGATCTGTCCCTTCAGCACGCGCGTGAAGCACTCCTTCTGGTGGTCGGTGGGCTGGCCAAAGTGCACCGTGCGCGTGACATCGGTGGTCCCGTCCCTGCCGAGGGGGAACGCAGAGATGTCATGGTGGTGTAGATACGCGATAGCGATGTTTAGTCAATTACGAGTTCAACACCCCCTAGTCTTTATCGCCCTGATGTTCTGACATCTCCGCGTTGCGTGGCGGCTCAATATGACCAGTGCATGTCCAACAGAGCCGTGCTACTAAGTACACAGCTCAATAGCGACTCGGACTCACCTGTACTGTACTGCCTGCCCGAGTCGACCAGGATGTAGGAATAGTGACTCGCCTGTTCGCCCGAGTCAACTAGATACCGTGACTCACCTTTATAGCCCGCCAAAGTCAACCAGTGACTCACTTGTACATATGTACTGTCCACCCGAGTCGACCAGATACAGTGACTAACCTGTACTGTAGACCAGTACAGACTCTGACTCACCATTACTGTCCGCCCGAGTCGACCAGGTACAGACTCTGACTCACCGGTACTGTCCGCCGGAGTCGACCAGGTACAGCTCGTCCTTGGTGATGGGTCTGTCGGTGGCCTCTGAGGGATCGTAGTGAATTACCGCGCCGTTCGGACCCGATGACGAGATGGTGTTGAAGCTCAGGCTGACAAACAGGTCCTGCTCGGCCCTGGCGGTCAGGACGGGACGGACGGCCGTCAGGTGGCCGGTGGGACAACTGAGCGGCAGTAGTCGGGAACACCAGCTCACTAAATGACTAATATGAAACAGATAAACAGCCCAGCTGAGCTCCATCAATTATCTAGCACTTTTCCCATCCTATCCAATCATCCCTAAAACCCATCAATCATCTAGCTCAAAGTCACAGCCCCCGACTTTCTGTGCCACGCCTACCCCACCGCAGCGCCGTATGTTACCTGAGCGCGTCCAGTTTGGCCGCCCCGGAGACCTCTGTGACGCTGTGCCCGGCGGCCACCTGCTCCTCCAGCCAGCTGAGGTAGGTGCACAGCGCCGCCGCGTCCCGCACGTGGGCGCTGTGCATCCCTGACACACGGAACGGGGTCACCGGTCAGCCAGCGCGTCCCCAAAATACCGAACAGCTACAACTGTTCAATGTTCAATGACCCACCAACTACAGCACTAATAATGAACTAATGATGGGGCACGACTTACCCTGGATTTCGGTCTCGTTTTTGACGGCCTTCATGGTGCAGGGCGGGGTGCGGTCCACTTCTCTCTGACCCCGCTCGAACAGAGCTGACAGCGCGTGACTCGACAGCGGGCACAGCCACGCCTTGCCCTCCAGAGCGGCAGCCTGAAACGTGACCCCGACATATACGACTTAGTGTGAGGCGCATGCGATGCACAATTATAAAAAAAAGATAAGAATAAAGGAAGCAGCGATGAGCAGCTAACCCGAGATCTATCCATTTAAAAGCATGAGCTCCGTAAGACCATAAAAAAATGAACTACAAAACGAGCAAGAAAAAGAAAAGATGTAACACGAATCTGAAATTGAGCAAAACAACAATGGCATTTCAGTTCAAGATTCTGCTAATTAATCAAATTTGGCTGTCTCGCACCCACCACCCTCCGAGAACGCACCTTGTCCTTTAGGAAGGACCAGACCTCGCCGTAGCCGTGAATCTCCAGATCGGGGGCGCCCTCGTCGGCAAAGTGCTGCGTCACGGCCGGACTCAGCTGAGCCGGGTCGACGAACAGGTGTACCGAGTCGGTCAGCACCACACAGTACGAGAAGAATACGGGGTTGTAGACGATGTCGCTGCCGCGCAGGTTCAGCAGGTCTGCCGGCAGCGGCCGGGCGCTGGTCAGAGGGAGCAATGGCGAGTGGTCGAAAGCAGTGCGGTCGAGACGCAGTCAGGTGCGCCTACAGCAAGATCAAAACGACGTCAGAAAGACATACGCGACGATAATCCAAGGCCGATACGGTAAGGCTCCGGGACACGGCGGATAATGGAGCCGACGGACACATCTGCGGACGATGTGGTACGATCTCCGCGACTTACAGGCGATCTCGTCCAGGGCAGCCACCACCAGCAGCGAGCAGTTTTTCTTCTTCATCTGAGCGCGCACTTCCTCCAGCTTGCTCTTGACATTCATACCTGCCGAACATACACACGCAGCATCGTGAAAATGAGAGGAGTTGTGCTTTTGAACTGTATCTTCACCAAGAAGCTCGGTAATACAGCCATTACACGGTCACCCCATCACCAACGTAACCAGAGCGGGACCACTGCGCCAGTGTAGGGGGTCGTACCTGTGTTAGGGTGTGTCATTTTGGGCACTTTTTTCGCAAAACATGGTGCTCCACTGATATTATCGTGCCCCAGACACGTAGAAACCGTGTGGCATTTATTATTTTCCCCAAATATTAACACCCATGCGGCGCCGACCGCCGAAACTTTGGCCTATCTCTCAGCATTAGCGACCTCAGCGCCCCTAGCGGCAATGTTTTGAACTAACACGCTCGCTATGCTTTGTGAGCTTACGACCATCATTAAATGCATTTTACAGAACTGAAGCCTTGCTGTTGGCTTGTCTGGCACTCAGAATGTTGATGAAAATGTGATGCTATGCATCTTAAAGCACGAAATAGTCCTGTGTTAATGTATATTGTATAGTACTACCCCCGATCCCCGTCCTGGTCTGACGGTATACGTACATACGAGCACATGTTTATAGTGCCCACTATTAGGTGTCACATGTTTTTTTTGTAGCGTCTTTCACTGCATAGACCCCGGGGAACAGGGGGGGGGGCAGCGGGGGCGCTTACACCCCCCCCCCCTCCAACTTGAGAGCCGAGTGGGCGCCGCCCCCTCAACATTGATGCAACGATGAAGAGATCTCTGCTCCCAGTCCCTTTTATGGACCTACATGTCTGTTTTTATATAAATATCAGCACAAGGTATTTCTCTTGCATGTGAATGGTTTCTGCTGATTCAGCATCGATTTAAGATCACCTGCTATTGTCATCCCACTTTGATTTTATCTGAACTTGATCATAACTTTGATAGGCCAGATTTTATACTGGACCATTTTGGTTCCGGATGGTATTTGATTTGGCGTGATGAGAACATTATGACGTACAACGGTGGTAAAGTCGTTGATTGATACAGGTTTACTCGCTCCGGTGGGAGGCAGTAGCGGCGGAACACCTTCAATTAAGTGGAGGGGGGGGGGGGGGGGGACTCTGCCGACTTTTGGTCCCGTTCTTTCCATGCAACGCCCATAGGGCTAATGTTAAAATGCCCATATCAGAGGGGGCACGGTGCCCCGGTGCCCTCCCCGTTCCGCCGCCTTTGGTGGGAGGGCGGCGTGTGGGACTCAGAAGGAGACTAATGGCTTGTGTTGTGCCTTTGGTAGGACCCTCAGTATCACCGATGCAGGGCCTTCAGAGCCTCCAATTAGGGGCCTTTAGAGGCACTGGTGTGGGGTCCTCACAGACGCCCGTGTGGCCCCTCAGAGGTGCTAGTGTGAAGCCCTCATAAGCGCCGGTGAGGGTCCTCACAGAATACAGACGCCGTTGTGGACCCTCAGAGACACTGGTGTGGGTCCGTTACATGTGGGTGTGTGGCCCTTAGAGCTGCTGGTGCGAACCCTTCAAAAGTCGGCAGGGGGCCCTCAACGACCGGGGAGGGGGACCTCAGACCGGCAAGGGGCCCACAGAGGCCGGCGGCATTTTCAGAAGCCCTGTGGGGTCCTTAGATACCGACAAGGTACTCTGAGACGCCAGTGCGGCCCTCAGTCTCCGGTGTAGGGCCCTCAGAGTTGCAGGTAGGTGGCCGTCAGATATGCTTTTGCCGAACCCTCACAGGCGCAGGTGTGGGTACCTCAAAGCCACCAATATAGGGTTGCATAAATGGTGTGGCACTGGCGTGGGGGACCCTCAGTGGTGTCCTTATGGGCCCTTAGAACCACTGGTGTGGGGCTCTCAGAGGTGCCGGTTGTGAACCCTCAGAGGCACTGCTGAGGGCCCTCACGGTCTCCGTTATGGGATCCTCAGAAGCCGGCGTAGACCCTGACGGAGATCTTAGTGTGGCTACTTAGGGGTCCATGAGGTGCTCTTACGAGACCTGTGAGGTCTTTCTCAGTCGAAATATAGTCAGCGTGGTCCCTCAGAGGCCAATTGGTGCCGCAAGGCCCTTTGTGGCCGGGTGGGCTCTCAGAAGCACCAGTGAGCCGTGAGGGCCCTCAGTCTCACAGTCGTCGTAATGGGGCCGTCAGAGACATTGGTGTGAGGCCATTACTGATTACAGGTTGGTGTAAGGCCTTAGATATGGCCCCTCTTGGGCCGGCAAGGACTCTCAGAGGCACACTAGCGGCCATAAGAGGCCGGTAAAGGGTCCTCAGAGGCCGCCAGTAGCCTTCAGAAGCCGGCTTGTAACCCTCATGGACAATTTAGTGAGGCTTCTTTGGACTCACGAGGTGCTGTTACGAGCCCTATTCTTTCTGAATCGAAATATGGCCAGCATGGACCCTGAGCGGTAAACTGGTGCCACAGAGCCCCTCCGACCCGAGGGGTCCTCTGAATGCGATAGGGGGGGGGGGGGCTGGAGGGCACGTGCCTCCTGGGACCCCTGACTACGCTACTATTTCATATGCGTCATGTCAGGTATTTTGGGCTTGCACCCCAACTTGGAAAATGTTCCTGGGCCCCTGTGACAATACATTGTATTTATTATAGGTATTCGTCATTAGCTTGCACTCTCTGCAATCTGCCCATACCATTATTTGTCCCTAGACGCGCTTACAGAGAGCAGGGATAAGCCCATACAGTCAGCGGCCTGTTAGTTTCGCAAACAGCCGCCAGGGGCGCTAGGGTCGCCTATGTTGTGAGATAGGGTAAACTTCTCTCGCTCGGCGCCGCCTGGGGGTTAAAATTTGCGGGAAATTAACAATGCCACGCCCTTTCCACAAGAGTGGAGCACAATAAAATCGATGGAGCACCTTGCATTGCGATTAGTGACACACCCTACTGTGTAGCGCAGCGGGTGCGACTGGACGGCGGGACCACTGCGCCGGTGTAGGGGGCCGTACCTGTGTAGCGGAACGGGTGCGGCTGGACGGCGTTGGCGGTGCGCGCCGGCCGGTCCGTCCACACCAGGTCCACCAGGTTAGTGTGCACCGGTCGTAGCCGGTGACCGCCGGCGGCCAGCTCCGCCGAGAGCGTGTCCCACAGCCGCGAGGAGAGCAGGCGCGGGTCCACGCCCACCAAGCCGCCCGCTGATGGCAGCACCTCGGACAGCCAATCGCCCTGCGACGGCGTACCCGGCAGACCTGCAAAGGCACACTCAATGAGACGGCAGTCTCACTGCAATCGACGGCACAGCACAGCGGCACAAAACGTCATTGGGCACCATAACGAAACGTGCCCAAACAGAGCACCAAGAAACGCATCCCCTGTGGCGGGACGGGCGCCGCCGGCGACTGACCGTCCTTCATCAGCGTCCAGTTGTGGTCCATTTCGCTGGCGGCCTGCAGGTGGTAGCGGCCGTCCGTCCACAGGCAGGCGTGCGTCTGAGTGACCACGGCCGTGCCCGCCGAGCCCGTGAAGCCCGTCAGGAAGGCGCGCCGCTCGTCACACGCCGCCAGGTACTCACTCTGCGGGCGAGGGGAGCGCATTACATTAAGAGAAAATGAGTCTGTAGGCACTAGTCTGTCATGTTCATGCAGGACTGTAGGCACTATGTAATCTGTCATGCTCATGTGGGTCTGTAGGCACTAGTCTGTCATGTTCATGCACACCAAAAACACAAAACAATGACAATACTGTGGGGATCTGCAGTTCATCTGCAACTCATTATTTGTACTAACAGTTTACATCCACATTTCTTACCCCATGAGCATCTGATGATGGCACAATGTATGCATGAAGCTCCTCACTAACATATTTGGTATTCTTCATGAAAGCCCTCAGCTGCTTCAGCAGGTGAGTGGTATTCTTTGCGCCAGCCATGGCGGACATCACACTGAAAACAGCACACCATTCATCAGCTCAACAGCTTCCTGGCTGAAATTGTTTAGAAAGCAAATTTCCTGACGAACAGTTTAATGTAGTAGGAGCTTGATGCCTAAGGAAAGCATGTATGTCAAAAGAAAAGCACCTATCTACAAAGTCATCTGCACTGTCCATTGTGAACAACACCTATGTGGTGTAAAGCTAAGTATGAGTCACTGTTTTCAAACCATTAATGATGTAATTTTTCCATCAACATCACCACATATTCTCCTAGGCTTTTGAATTATTATCAATTATGGTAGGGCTTAGGTATTGCTTGGAATGCACCATTCCACATTTAGAAGCCTTCATATCCAAACAGTTACAATCACCACAGTCAAACAGCAAACATACCTACCTATTTCACTTTTTATCTTATAAAGCAATTTTTCAGGCATAATATGATGCTTCAATGAACATATGTAGAATCATAATATGAGCAGAAGTCAGAACTGTTTGAGGCTGAGTCAGAGTGTCCAATCCGAGATTTGTACCTAACACCTATTCATTTTTGCTAATCAGCCTTTCGAACACATTAATATTATTTAAGTTCTTTTATGAAAAATGGATGTGGACTTTTCCCGTAATTCAACTTTCGTTAAAGCACGCCTTGACGGCAGTAACCTGCCTGTCCTGCAACATAGGCATAGCTTCCCTGAGATGGCCTGCGTCAGAAAACTAAGCTCACCACATACATCGTATCGGTGTATGTACAGCATTAATTCTAAAGAGTTTAAAGAAAATAAACACATTTACTTACAACACTGCGATGTCTAAAAAATGGTGTATGAGCTGGAATGTAAAATTGCTCAGGCTCTATTCTAACGATTCAATAGTCGCCGGCGGGGTCGCCGGTAAAAATTGAAATGTGTTCAAGAAATCGGCAGTCATAATCATGAAACAGCGTAAGCAGAGGGCTGTTCACGGACCCTGTGTGCGGTCGGACCGCACACAGCCTCAAAGCTCCGCCCACCGCGTCCCTACGTCAGCCTTCCGTCACCGCACATAGCGATCGCTGTGGCCGGTCGGGACTGGCCACATATTACTTTTCCAGATTTGGTTTGCACGAGCAGGAGTTTGTCAAGTGTTGAAAATAGTGAACGTCGTTGATGCGCTGTTTTTTGTATTTTATATATTGATGCCATATGAAGTAATATCTTTACTTTTTCTCACTACTGCTTGAAATTAGCGTTTGACGCTTGAGCTGAGAATCACTGAGAATGAGAGCGGTCTTGTTTGTCGTACGGCCTATGAGCGATCAACGGACAACAGGCTTTGCTATGACTTATGAGCTGTCAGCTGGGTCACTTAGGTAGTTATCTCGAAGCACTTCCAATCCAAGACTTCTTATAAACAGAGTGCACTTGCACTACTACATAGGTACCCACTACCCACTCGTTAGTCACTGCAGGCCGTGGTAGGCCGAGAGGGAATGTGGGCCGGGCGACGGTGACCCTCTGTTGTGAGTTGTCTCTCACTCTGGCTCTGTGCCTGGAATAATCCTTAAACCCGCGCCCCGTAGGGGGGGGGGGGGCCGAAACGCCCCTCCCCCTGTCCTTTTCCGTCGATATCTCCTAAACGGCTAAAGATATCGCCACCAAACTTTCAGAATCCCTCTGAGCAGGGCTGCGGAGTCGGAGTCGGAGTCGGAGTCGGTCGGAGTCGACAGTTGTGACCGGAGTCGGAGTCGGAGTCGATTTTAGAAACCCGAGCCGGAGTCGGAGTCGGAGTCGGAGTCACCGAAAATCTGTCGACTCCGCAGCCCTGCTAGGTCTGCGGAGTCGGAGTCGGGAGTTCAGGAGTCTGTCGGAGTCGACAATTCTGCCCGGAGTCGGAGTCGGAGTCGGAGCTGGTTTTTGAAAGCCGGAGTCGGAGTCGGAGTCGGAGTCGCCGAAAATCCATCGACTCCGCAGCCCTGCCTCTGAGCATCAATTTTACACATTGTGACCAAAAATTTTTTCCAGAGGCTATGACAGATTGGCCACAAATGACGTCAGAATGACGTTATGTTCTGCCATTTTCGACCGAAAAAAGACCTTCGCAAGAAGAGCTGTCAGGCCTACAGCTTTGAAGATACAGAAAAATGATCAGACATAAAGGTGTAGAATTGACAGGGCTACAAAACCGTTATCTCGGATTTTTGAAATTTTTGAGTTTTGACCCCCAAAAATTAAAAAAACAATTTTTTTGGATATATTTGCCAAAAAATCCAAAAAGTTTTTGAGTTTCAAAAAAACGGAATATATGTGATAGTTCCTACCGTCTTCTATATACATACCAAATTTCAGATCAATATCTTGTTTTTTGGCCAAGTTATAGCGAAAAAAACTGTTCAAAAATGAGGACGTTAAATTTTCAAACTCAATTTTTGGCAATTTTAGACCACGTAGAGCAAAAAAAAAGACCACCATTAGACTCCCCGTGACGAGCTGCATCGAATCAATACCCATTTTATGCAAAAATATCAACTTTGAAATTTGATCTAATTTGACCTGACCTTGACCTGACCTTCACCAAAACGTGACCTAAGCTGGCCCCAAAGGCTGCCTGACCCACAGAATCGCATTTGTCATGTAAAATGGACCATAAAACATGTATCACACGACACTTTCATATTGCGACCCCCAGGTGACCCCCAGTGACCTGACCTTTGTGACCTGACCTGGTATCATTGACCTCAGATAGCGAAGTATGTGTTTGACGAACAATGTACCATCGATGGTTTTCAATAACTTACCAATTTACTCGATTTTACAACACATTTCTTGAAATGTCTGTGAACGGTGAAAATCCGACCTTTGACCTGACCTGTGGCTGTGACGTCATCGGTTTGACCTAGGGCAATGAAATTTGGTCACAAGGTAGTTCCCCGGTGGGGCTATCGAGCGCTGTTTGAATTTTGAAAATCGGCCGGTAAATTTCCGAGATCTTAGGGGGGCCGAAACGCCCCCCCCCCCTACGGGTGGTAGGGTCCGCCGATAGCCCTACGGGGCGCGGGTTAACCCGCGCCCCGTTGGAGTCTGCCGAGCAACGCGACCTGTTGGGGGGGGCAATTTGCCCCCCCCCTTAGATCTCGAGAACCACGCAACATAGCGACAAGCAGCAAACGGTGTTGGATAGCCCCAACAAGGCCCCAACTACCTTGTGACCCAGTTTCATTGACCTAGGTCAAATCGATGACGTCACAGGTCAGGTCAAATGTCGAATTTTCACCGTTTACAGGCATTTCAAGAAATGCGTTGTAAAATCGAGTAAAATGCATTTCATTGAAAATTGTCGATTGGGAATTGTTCGTCAAACACATCTTCTGCGATTTGAGGTCACTGATACCAGGTCAGATCACAGAGGTCAGGTCACTGAGCAGGGGCCCGGGAACGATTTTCAAGTTGGGGGGGCGAGCCTAAAATACCTGACATGATGCATATGAAACAGTGGCGTAGCTAGGGGTCTACGGGGACACGTGCCCCCCCCCCCCATCGGGTTCAAAGCGACCCTGGGGCCCTGCGGCGCCATTTGACCGCTGAGGGTTAACAATGGCCCTATTTCGACTCATAAGGGTCCCATGGGGCTCGTTAGAGCGCCTCGTGGGCCCTAGCCACACTAAGATCTCCATAAGGGCCCCACGCCGGCTTCTGAGGCGCCCATTGCGAAGTCCTGAAGTCCATGCTACTGAAAGCCCGATTTCAGGTGTTTGACCTGACCTTGACCCGACCTGTGACCTCAAAATTCAACTTTAAAGTACTCATCTGAAGCGTCTCGTCGCGTTCTTTCGTTTGCCGCCTCGTGCGTTTCGCTGCGCCTATTGGTTCTCGAGTTATCGGCTGAGGGCGTTTAACGCCCCGCCCAGCAAACGGTGGGTGGCGAAATACCCCAGCAACTGCCGGGTTAAGGGCCCCTCGGTGGTCCCCATAGGCCCATTATTGGCCTCTGAGAGTTCTTACCGGCCTATGAGGGGCCAGTTCTAGGGGCATTTCCCGCCTGTGATGGTCCCACACTTATTTTTCTGAGGGCCCCATAACGGCAAATGTGGGGGCCCTCATCGGCGCCTATGAGGGCCCACACCGGTGTCTCTGAGGGTTTCAAACCCCCAACTCTGAGTGCCTACACCAGTGCCTTATATTAAAGCCCTATATCGGCGGCTCTGAGGACCCCACAGTCAGCACCTGCGCATCTAAAGGCCGCCCACTGGTGACTTTTGAGGGCCTCACACCGGTGACTACTGACTCTGAGGGCCCCCACGGCGTCTGACAGTACCATGCCGGTCTCTAAGGACCCCACAGGATTTCTTCTGCCGGCCTAAGGGCCCCTTGCCGATCACTGAGAACCCCCTGCCGCCTTGTAGAGGGTTCGCGCCAGCAGCTCTAAAGGCCCCACACCCGTCTGTAACGGCTCCACACCAGCGTCTATGAGAGCCCAAAGCAAAGCCTTTAAGGACCCTCACCGGCGCCTCTGAGAGAATCACACTATCTCTGATCTCTGATCAGACTCTCTCTGATCTCACACTAATCTCTGAGCGCCCACACCGGCACCTGCATGACGGCCCCACACCAGTGCCTCTAAAGGCCCCTTACCGGCGGATCTGAGGGCCCTACGCCGGTGATTCTGAGGGCGCTACCGATAACCGAAGGCACCACTCAAACCCTTAGTGTCGCTGAGCTTGAATCCCATACCGGCCTTCCGAGGGCGCCACGTCAGTGCACTCATTGCCCCACACCCCTCCCTCACACCCGGAGCGGGTAAACTGTCATACCTATAACAACGATTTTACCACCGTTGTACGTTATGTAATTCTCAAAGTTGACTCAAATGGTCCAGTAAAATAGATAAAATCCGGCCTGCCAAACTTTTGGCCAAGGTCAGGCCCAAATCAAAGCGGGATGACAATAGCAGAAGTTGTCAAATCGATACTGTATCAACAGAAACCATTCAGATGGCAAGGAAAATGTCATGTGTTGATGTTTAGATGATAAAGGAAACAAGAAGGAAAGAAAACCGGAAAATGGATGAAAGATCCTTTATCGCTGCCTCAATGTTGAGGGGGCGCCGCCCCCTCGGCTCTCAAGTTGGGGGGGCAAGCGCCCCCGCTGCCCCCCCTGTTCCCGGGTCTATGTCACTGAGGGTCACAATATGAAAATATCATGTGATGCATGTTTTATGGCCCATTTTATATGCCAAATGCGATTATGTGGGTCAGGCAGCCTTTGGGGCCAGTTTAGATTATGTTCTGGTCAGGGCTGCGGAGTCGATGGATTTTCGGCGACTCCGACTCCGACTCCGGCTTTCAAAAACCAACTCCGACTCCGACTCCGACTCCGGGCAGAATTGTCGACTCCGACCGACTCCAACTCCCGACTCCGACTCCGCAGACCTAGCAGGGCTGCGGAGTCGACAGATTTTCGGTGACTCCGACTCCGACTCCGGCTCGGGTTTCTAAAATCAACTCCGACTCCGACTCCGACTCCGGTCACAACTGTCGACTCCGACTCCGACTCCGCAGCCCTGGTTCTGGTGAAGGTCAGGTCAATGTCAGGTCAAATTTGGTCAAATTTCAACGTTGGTATTTTTGCATAAAATGGCTATTGATTCGATGCAGCTCGTCACGGGGAATTCAATGGTGGTCTTTGTTTTGCGCTACGTGGTCTAGAATTGCTAAGAATTGAGTTTAAAAATTTACGTCATCAATTTTGAACAGGTTTTTCGCTATAACTTGGCCAAAGAAGGAGATATCGATCTAAAATTTGGTATGTGGATAGAAGAGCGCAGGCCCTATCACATACCTAAAATCTGTTTATTCGAAATTCGAAAATTTTTGGGATTTTTTTGCGTTTTTCTTTTAAAAAAATCTTCTTATTTTTGGGGGTCAACATCTCAAGATTTTGAAAATCCGAGACGGCAATTTTGTAGCGCCGTCTTTTTTCTACATGACAATGTAAAGAACTTTGAAATTGCTTGGTAACTGTAGCTTTTGTAAGTGTTTCAAGATTTCATGTTTTTTACTCATTTTTGCTCGAACATGACCGCAGTTTGACCTCAATAACTCCTGACCTAAGGTGACCTAAAACTTGAAATTCTGTGTGAAGGTGTAAAATTGATGCCCAGGAAGGTACTGAAACTTGCTATTCAGGAAAAACCCCCGGGGGTGGGGGGCAAATTGCCCCTCCCGAACGGGGCCAGGGTTAAGTCTTAACACAAGGCATTATATGGTTTCACCTCTTCCTTGTGGCTTCACCAGAGTCGAGTCATTTCTGAACTCTAAAGAATTATTTAGGAGTTAACTCCTATCATTCTGAACTCAACGAATACCTACTAATTACTTATCGATTCGATTCACTTCGAGAAGAGTATTCAGGTATAAGTATTGTCAGGCTTCGAATCTCGATCCAATCACTCCAATGGGTGCAGGTCACAGCCTCATGCTTTAGCGACCGTTCACTTCATTTACGGCAGAGAAACGGGACGCATGTTGCAGTGTCGTCATTATCCACATTCTACACCCGTTCGTCCTCCGACATTGCTGGCATCGCGTGGCACGAGCCGCATGGGCCAGCTCGCTATTTTTGGCTGCTTCGTGACGCCCGCGCCGGTGGCAGGAAGGACCAACGGCACGCTGGCTGCCGCTCAAATCTCGCCCTTGTCGCCGCGGGCCGGCGGTGCAGACCGGTCTCTGCGCCTGCGTCGGCCCCGACGCGGCGCGTGGCCCGGCGACGGCTCTCTCGAAAGGACGGGAAGCGATTCGTGTGCTACATACGGTCAGCTCAGAGGGTTATAACTCCGCAGTGCGACTGTCAGGCTCTGCGCTCGGAGCCAGTGGCGTGCCGGCGGCTTGTGTGCAGCGTGTGAGGTTAGGTCGGCGCGGTGACCATGTCCGATCGGCGGTGCGCCGTGTGTGCCTCGCCGGCTGCCTCCGGGTGCAGCGGCTGCCACGCCGTCTTCTACTGCGGCAAAACGCACCAGAAGGCCCACTGGAAACAGCACAAGCCGGCCTGCGTGCCGTACAAAATCGCCGAGAGCCCGGAGCTGGGCCGCCACCTGCTGGCCACCCGCAACATCCGGCCGGACGAGCTGGTGCTCCGGAACGCGCCGTTGGTGGTCGGCCCCAAGCAGTTCTCGGACGCGCTGTGCCTGGGCTGTCTGCGGCCGCTGGGGCCCAGCGTGCACCTGTGCCAGTGCGGCTACCCGATGTGCTCGCCGCAGTGCGCCGCCGCCGCCGTGCACCAGCCCGAGTGCGAGGCGACGCGCCGCTCGGGCCGCCGGCTGGAGGTGGACGTCACCGTCAGCCCGAACCCGCACTACCAGGCGGTGACGGTGCTGCGCTGCCTGGCGCTGCGCGGCACCGACGCCTGGCGCCAGCTGCAGCAGCTGCAGGCCCACGAGCAGGAGCGCCAGCTGAGCGGCCGGCACGCCGAGCTCGACGACCACGCGCTCCAGTTCCTGCACTACCTGGGCGTCGACGTATCGCCGCAGGAGGTGTACCAGATCTGCGGCGTGCTCGACGTGAACGGGTTCGAGGGGCCGCTGCACCGCGCCGTGGGACTCTACCCGCGCGCCGCGCTGCTCGAGCACAACTGCTCGCCCAACACGACGCGCACGTTCGAGGAGGACCTGACGCTGGTGTTGCGCGCCAGCGTGCTCATCCCCAAGGGCAGCCACATCACCACCAGCTACGCGGACCCGCTGTGGGGCACCGACAACCGGCGCTACTTCCTGCGGCAGACCAAGTACTTTGACTGCACGTGCCGGCGGTGCGCCGACCCGACCGAGTGCGGCTCGGAGCTGAGCTCGCTGCGCTGCCCCGACTGCAGCGACGGCCTGGTGCGCTGCACGGCGCCGCTGGAGCCGGCGGCACCCTGGCGCTGCTCCCAGTGTCCGCGCGAGCTCTCGGCCACCGAGGTGGTGCAGATTACCCAGCACATCGGCGAGCAGCTGGTCAACGTGGAGAAGGGCAGCGTGACCGCGGCGGAGACGTTCATCCGCGACTTCACCAGCGTCCTGCCGCCAACACACTTCTACATGTGCGACATCAAGGTCCGTCTGGCCGGGTCTGGATAGTACCATAGTGTAATAAATAATAAATAAGTGTAATAAGTTATTTATTACACTATGATAGTACCTACCTACGATGTGTGACATAATTATTGCCCAGTCTCTGTAAGCAGTTATTCACATTTAGGGTAGTGTGCCACCTTTGAAAGATTTCCCATTTTATTTTTCCTAGGATAAGAAGCTTCTGTTTTTACCTAATATCGCAAAGAAAATCAAAAATGGGCCTGGAATAGTGCCTTTTTCGCCTAAAAGTTTATCGGTTTTTCGATATGTATAACAACTGTAGTGGGCTGACCTGCAAACAGGCGTCGGCAACAATCGCGAATGCGGCGCACATGTGACAATAAGCAAAGGTCATCATAGAGTTACGACGTACGGGAATGAGTTATCAGCTGTCTAATCGTAGACAACACAATGTCGAGCCTCATACCCAGTAAACATGCCGACGTCGGCCCGACGTCGGCTGACGTCGGGGTGACGTCGGCATCTCGGCATCGGCATGCCAACGTCGGCCCGACGTCGGTCCAACCTCGGCACGACGTCGGCTGGATGTCGGATATGCCCGCATGTACCGACGTCCAGCCGAGGTCCAGCCGACGTCGGGCCGACGTCGGACCGAGATCAATTGCTGAGGTCCAGCCGACGTCGACCCGACGTCGGACCGACATCGGTCGCTGTTAAAATAATATAAAATACATGTTTCATGTTTCATAAAGAGCTTCTGTATCCAAAATATCCTCAGGAAACTCAAATCTTCCTCCACGCCGCAACCCCCTAATCCGGACTGGACGGGAAACTTTATCCCATTTGGGATTGCCCGTAAGCCGAGCTCGCCCGCAGCCGGGTGCGGTGAGTGCTTGGGGGCTGCTCGGCCTATCCTTTGGTCAGGCTCAGCCCCGGCATTTCACCAGGGCCGGGCCCAGTTCATATACAGGGTGACACAAAAAAAAAAACGGTCATCACCAAAATTCGAATAACTTCGGAAGTTTTATTCAGATCATCACCAAACTTCGGCCACTTTAGGTCACACCTATGTAGCAGACATCCACCAAGTTTCAAGTCTTCACTACGAATACTTTTAGTACAGTGTGTGTTTTACGGACGCTCCACAATGTGCTCCAGGTGAGCGCCCCGGCGCTGCAGGGCGTAGGCACACCTGCATCCGGCGGGCAAAGTTGTCGATAACCCGATAAGAATAACGTTTCAGGGGTAGCACACCCCCTGAGCACTGTCTCCAGAGGCCATTGCACTCTGTAAAGTGCACAGCCATCGGGTTATCGACAACTTTGCCCGCCGGATGCAAGTGTGCCTACGCCCTGCAGCGCCGTGGCGCTCACCTGGAGCACATTGTGGAGCGTCAGTAAAACACACACTGTACTAAAAGTATTCGTAGTGAAGACTTGAAACTTGGTGGATGTATGCTACATAGGTGTGACCTTAAGTGGCCGAAGTTTGGTGATTATCTGAATAAAACTTCCGAAGTTATTCGAAATTTGAGGATGACCGTTTTTTTTGTGTCACCCTGTAGAAAGGCCAGTCGGCAAGTGTCACTTTGCCAAAGTGCCACTTATCAAAGAGACACCTTGGGAAACGTTGGTGCAGGTGTGTAAGAGTGGCTATATGAATCCATTGTGGGGTCGCCCTTTCCAATAAGTGTCACGTAACAGCAATGGGACCAGGGACTCTATATGAACTGGACCCAGGGTGCTCGCCAAGAAGACCAATGTCTCCATCCTATCATCCTTCCGGCTCTGAAATGATCTTGTCAGACCGAAAGGGCATAACCCAACAAAACAAACTAACTTCGCTATTTGGCTGCGTGGTGTAGTGGATAGCGCACTAACATCGCGTTCAAATAAGTCGGGGTTCGAGTCCCATCGCCGGCTGGTGCTTTTGGCGTGTTGTCCCAGTAAACACTAAACATGCCGACGTCGGCGACTGGAGGGCTCGAATCCCGCCGCCGGTTGATATTTTTGGCGCGTTGTCCCAATAAACATGCCGACGTCGGCCCCGTCGGTCCAACGACAGACGATCTCGTCAACCTCGGCAAACGACCTCGGCCCGACGTCGGCTGGACTTCGGCTGGACGCCGGAACATGCGGGCATATCCGACGTCCAGCCGATGTCGGGCCGAGGTTGAACCGACGTTGGGCCGACGTCGGGCCGAGCCTCGGCCCGACGTCGGGCCGACGTCGGCATGTTTACTGGGTACTGTAAGCCTGTATTGGTATTGTTTCTTTTATTTGGCTGTCGAACATTATTTATGGTTTGAAATATGATTTTATGTAAAATAATTGATATGAAAAAGCCGTCTCTTAAAGGGACCCTCCCACCTTCAAAAAAGTTTATGAATTGGCATGAAAGTGATGTCACTCGGTTCAGAAAGAGCGAAAACGAATATCTACCAAATTTCACCGAAAAATATTCACCGGTTTTCAATATATTAGACTTTTACTTTTGTTTACTTTTTGGGATCTCCGCTGTTCCTAGCGACTTTATTTAAAAGTGCGGCATTTGTTGCGCGCAACGCAGCATATACCACCGCGTGCTACAAAACGTTTTAGTCAAGCATTTAACGGACGTTCGAAAGCCTGATGACGTCATCAGATTCCCGTAATGGTTAAGAGATAGGGACCACGCTGGTCCCACCCTGCAAGTAAAGGGAAGAAATTTCTTGAACACCATAAAGCTGCGGGGGTTGCGACCAGGATAAATGGTGGTTTCTGAGCCTGGCCGCAAACTTGGCTATCTCAACTCAAAACTAATGTTAAGGTGGGAGGGTCCCTTTAAGTTATGACCCCATTTCACCACACGCAAGTGGCAGAAATGACAATGATCAGCTGACGCATTTTTCTTGGCCGAAGTCAGAGCGCGCGGCCCGACCCACTACCACCGCACCACAAAGTATGAGCAGAAGCCGCGCCCAAAGCCAGGGCCCCGGTAACGTGAGGTAGCCGAGTCGGGGCAGCGTGCGCTGACCCAAGCCGGGGCCGCAGCTTTGGGCGCGGTCTACCGCATCCCCGCGGGCAGCCCCGGGCTATCACATGACACCGGGAGGACGCGCGGCCCCGGCTTGGGTCAGCGCACGCTGCCCCGACTCGGCTACCTCACGTTACCGGGGCCCTGGCTTTGGGCGCGGTCTACCGCACCACCTAACAGGCGTGTTCGAAACCGCAGGAGATGATGATGAACGGGTTTATCGAAACTTGATTGGATGAGCATATCGGTAATAGCGATTTCAGTGTGTGCATTTATTGTTCATAGTGGTGTGAAATGTGGTTGGGGTACGACCGACAACCCGTCGGGGCGAATTTCGCACTGGGGTACTCAAAATTTGAAGAATTTAAGACGTTTCCATGAGTTTTGAAGGTATGGATAAGTTCTAAAAATCCGGTTCTCCTTATCTGGGCCATTAACTCCATACGGTCCAGGAAAGCTGGCACACTAGTTACCTTTAAAGATAGTGTGTGAGCGGCTATGAGCGGCCGGCCGGCCGTGCGGACGCTTTTGCGAGGCTTATATCTCAGCAACCACTTGACCGATTTACAAGCGGTAATTTTTGTAGGGTAGCTTCATTCCTTCTACCAAGTATTGGACTATTCCCGATGCATGTGGGTGACCCCTTATGCACGTGCCACGTGCAAAACGAAGAGGTGTCAGTTTTGTAATTGTTGCAATATCTCGGTAACTACTTGGCCGATTGCGCTGAAAGTTGGCATGTAGGTAGGCACCCACTAGGCACTGCATATCCATGTGCCAGAGTTGGGGTGCTGCTGCACGTGCGCACGTGCAGGGGTCGTTTCCAGATCTCGAGAACGGCTTGACCGATGGCGCTCAAATTTGGTACACGGTTAGGGACCAGTTAGTAGGGTGCCGTGCACAAGTCAGATGGGACCCATTTTGCACGTGCGCACGTGCAGGATGCCGCTCCCAGATCTCGAGAACGGCTGGGCCGATTGTGCTCAAATTTGGCACATCGCTAGAAACCGGTCAGTAGGGTGCCGTGCACAAGTCAGTTGGAGGTACCCCCTCGAAATTTCGCACGTGCAAGACTCACCCCCTCGCTCGCTCCGTTAGTCGCCCCAAAAGGCGCTATACTGGTTGTATGTACGTAGGTACCCATAACCCACGAAAGTACATAGCCACAGTCTCCTCCCATCCCTCGAACCTAAGCAATAAACAAGAATAAATGCGTCTCGAAACACGCGATCTCTCTGCTCTGGACACAAGGGCTACCAGATTTGAGATTGAGGATTGCATGCATCCTATTCCTTACCCAGATCGTGTTATGCGCATGGGACCTACTAAAAGCACGCAATGCTAATCCCTGTATCAGATGAACTGTATAAAATGTTCATGTCTGTTGACGTGCCTAATTATGTAACTACAGATTCTTTGTGGTATTATTTTGCTATTAGAATTTTGTCATCCACTCTGAGCCGTATTATAAAGTCATCGTCCTCTGTTCAATGGTGTATGTTGGTATGTACTACCGTCTACCACGAAGACCGCAAACCACTGGTTATCTGATAATGACGCTTATCATGAATGAACGACAGTTCTATGGATAAGAGATGGACACCCACAGCATCATTAGCTTATCCTGTAGGAATGCAGTGTGAATGAATTGAAGAACATGTGTTTATAATAGCCGTTTTCACGACGGCCATCTGGTACACATTTGGTGCATATCTGGTGCAGATTAGGTGCAGATTTGGTCAAATTAGGTTCAGCGTGTCTCTTAGTTCTGCTAGGGGTTGCACTAATTGCTTATATGCCTGCTTTGTCATATTATCAGAGAGTATCATCGATTAAAACACTGAAATAAATTAATAAAATAAAAGTATTTGCTGTAAAAGAGATTAGGGCAGATTTGGTCCAATCAGGTGCACTCGCCGGATAGCCCGTCGTGAAAACGGCTAATTACGAGCGAGCGAGCGCAGCGAGCGAGCGAGTTCATACTGAATTAAGGGAAAATCCTG